CATAAGAATATTTGTATCTACATTATCAAATAATATTGTAATAGGTGACTCACCCAGTCTTTCAAATTTTTCTATGTTTATGGCAATTTCTTCATATGTAGCTCTAGAATTACGTTTTTTTTTTTTTAACATTCCCTGGACAAACTAAACTCTCGGTGGTCTTTATCTAACAAAAAAAACACAAGTTCCAGTCAATTAACGAAAATTCAAATAAATCTACACTTAAACATTTTTTAGCCATTTTTAGTTGCTATATTTTTCTATTTTAAATTATATGATCTATAAAAGTTACTCGAAAACTCAATTAAATGATATACAAAATAAATCATTTTTAAAAATTGTTTTTACTTTTTCCATTTCTTACAAGTTTTTTTAAACAACTGGCTGAATTCTTAATTTAGTTAAGAATTTTGTAACAAATTAAAGCAAAAAAAAAAATCATGCAAACCACCTACAATCATCCCCATGGTATTGATAAAACAATTATATTAAAAATGAAAATCTCCTTTTGTATTCCAAATGTGTAATTAAGGAATTATTCAATTTTTAATAATTTCAGGGAAAAATAAAAAAAAATTTTTTTATATTTTAAATAAAATTTTTTCAAAATTTTGTATATTGGCTTTATTTTTAATGTTTATTTATAACTTTGTTTTGCACGCAATACTTTATATCTACTTTACCCCCTGATTAATAATTATTTAAAGCTCTCTAACTTGTTATCAGGTAAATTTTTTTATATAGTGTTTTTATATTTTTTGCTTCATTTTTATTGAGCTTTTGATTAGTGTATAAATTAATAGATTTTGAAAAAATAAAATTTTGTTGCTATGGACAGGTGCTAGTGTCCTTGGAGACCATCTATGCTCATTTTGAAAGTGGGTCTGAGTCTTAATGAATGTTTTAACCTTTTCAACATGTCCACCAAGTTTCATGCTTTTACCCTAAATAGCACAAAGTTTGCACCAATTGACTGCACTAAATTATGAAATAACGTAATCACGTATATAAAATAACGTAATCATGTTTATGAAATAACGTAATCACGTTTATGAAATAACGTAATCACGTTTATGAAATAACGTAATCACGTTTATGAAATAATGTAATCACGTTTATGAAATAACATAATCATGTTTTAACAAAAAACATAAAACACATGTTGTAAGTTTAGTGTATCTGTTTTGTTTCTACATTTAAAACAGTACATTTTAATTTATCTTATATATTATTTATGTTATTTAAAAAAATCTTTATATATAAAAATTATAGATTTATCACGGAATGTAAATAAAAGTAAGCATAATAATAATAAGTTATTACCTAAAAGTATAAAAGAAACTATAGTAGGAAAGTCTGGTTGTAGAAAAATTACTTTATTACTTTTTAAATTATTAGTAATTTAAAAAATGATTTTGTATATAAAAATGTCATATATAAAATTTACAGATCCTAAGGATAGATATCGAATGGTTAATGAAGCTATCGAATTAATGAAAAGAATACTGCAAAATAATTTACAGGGTTCCCACTATTAAAACTAAGACCAAAATTAAGGATTTTAAGGAGATTTATGGAGATAATTTCCTAATATTTAAGGAGATTTAATCGCGAACAACATTTTTTTAAAAAAAAAAGTAAGGATAATTAAGGAGAAAACCATTACATTAAAAACATAATCTTATTTTTGTGAATAAATTTTGAATATAAACAGAGAAATTATTATAACTATCAAAAATCTACACATTATCTTCTTTATTAACAAGTATAATCCATTCACTTTAAAATAAAAAAAATAAAAATAATAAAAAAAAAAAAAAAATTAGGAGAAAGTTAGGAGAGCAGTCAAATTTTAACCTTTTTTAAAGGTTATTTAAGGACATTTAAGGAAATTTTTTTAAGGATATTTAAGGTTTTTAAGGAGGTGTGGGAACTCTGATTTATCTGAAAAGTTAGGTGATTATAATTTACAGACTTAACAAAATTGTACAAACCAATAATTGATAGTCAAACTAATATTAAAGAAAACTTATCTAAATTAGAAGATAAAGCAAATGATTTAGAACTTACTTTTTTAAAGCATCCAGAAATAATGCCTTGACCTGAAACTAAGGCAATAAAGAGTATGGATGAAGAAATTAACATATTAAAGTTAGGAAAAATTGCAAAAAATTTTCTAAAGATGTATACTTCAAGTAAAAAGACAACAAATTCTATATTTGGAATACATGATAAAAATGATAAATTATATATTGGAAGAAAGCCAATATTAATTAATAATAATGATATAAATATTGATGGTAAAACATTGGAACTCCTGGTCTTAGGGAGTTGGTAACAAAAGCTAGTCCTAATAAAGATGTATATCCTAAAGATGATCTTGATAATTATGAAAGTATATTAGTACAAATTTGTACAGGTGTACAGTTATAATCAACTGAAAATGAATAAAAAAGTATTAAAACGTTGGAATAGGACAATAAAGAGAAAATGTTCAAGTACTTTTCAGCTAATTCTACTAAAATTATACTAATGTTTTAGATGAAATGGTGAATAAATACAACAACACAAGGCATTCTTCAATTAAAATGACACCAGTTAAAGTAAGTGTAACCAGTTGAATCTAAATGGAAAAGTACGATTAGAGCACGTTAAACCAAAGTTTTCAATTGGTAATAGAGTTATAATAACTAAAAAGAAAGAAGCGTTTGAAAAAGGATACACATCAAATTGAAATGAGGAAGTATTTACTATATCACAGATTCAGTTTACAGATCCGCTGACAGATAAAATAACAGATGATAATGGTGAAGAAATACAAGGTTTTTTTATGAACAAGAATTGCAAAAAACTAATCAAAGTATATTTAGAATTAAAAAAGTTATTTGTAAACGCGGAAACAAATCATAAGTAAAGTGGTATGGGTATCCTGAGATTTTCAACTCATGGATTGACAATAATTGATAAATCTGTAAAAAATTATTCAGTAAGCTTTTATTTATTGTTAGGACATGTTTACTATTATGCTTAAGAAGAAAATTGAAATGAATTTAAATAAAAAAATAATAAGTATATTATGTAACTAAAATAATCAAATAATAATTTGTTTATAAATGAAAATGAAACCCTGGAAATGAAAACGTCTCTGACAAGAAATTTTTTTTTTAATCACTTTTTCTTTATTATTTTTAATTTTTTTTCTTTTTTATCATAAATTATGGTTAACAGATGTGTTAATTAAACGGACCCTTTTAAGTTCTGAACTGTAAGTGGTTGACATTTGATCACCTTGATCATGTTTTTGTTATGTAGATCAACAACAGCTGCTATTACCTTTTCCTTTCACCAGATCTAGCTACTACTTCTACTATTTTCAATGCATGTTTTTAATTAAAAAAATGCCAAACCATTGTTTATCTTTTCCATTGTTTCTATTTACAGTAAATCATTCAAAATATGTATGTTTTAAATTTTATATGTATCTTGTTTTAGAAACGCTTCAAAGGGGCATTCACAAATTATGTACACAGTAAAACCTCTTAATTAGCACCCCCACCCTCTTGTTCACACCTGTTTGCTTTCAACAATATCCCCCTCCTTTTGCACATGTACACATTGTTTATAACAAAATCAATCCAAACATTCTGCTTACCTCAGCAGAATGTTGCAATAAAAAGTTATGATTAAAACTTACAAAAAAGTGTAAATATATAGTCGTGATTAGATCTTATTTTAGCACACTTACCAGATAGATTTTACCCAAATAAAAATATAAAGTATTTTCTGCTAAATAAGAATTATCAAAAAGTGAATAAATGCATTAACAATTCTTCACCTATCAATCTTATTAACATTACGCACCACTGTTTAGCACCACTATGTAGCAAATGTCACATTTCTTGCATTATATAATTTATATGTTGGTATCAAATAATACCATGGTACAGAATCAATCTAATATATAAAAATCTTATCTCTTTTTATTGGTCTTTAAATCTAGAATTTGCCTTCAACTGCTTTTATTTTAAATTTTGAATACTTTTTTTTGATTACATATTTTTTAATATAAAAAAAGTATGATATGATAAGTATGTTGTTACTAATGGCATTTGTGACATTTTATTTTATTTGTGACATTTTTTATTATTTTTTTATTTTTTATTTTAATTCACCTCCTCAAGGCCGAGAAGGCCACTACAGACGAGGAGGCTACTTATTTGTGGCTATAACCCTCTCTCAACTCTATAACTCTGAAACACAAACCTTGACGAACAAGGCCGCTGCGCGGAGAAACGAGTTGAGCGCGGTACTACCAGGGACGTGGTGGGGATCGAACTCGGAACCACTCATTTATGAAGCGAGCGCTCTACCACTACACCACTACCGCATAATTTGACATCACAATGACATTTGTAACAACAAACTCAAACAATTGATGTTATTTAAAGAAAGTTATACTAACATGCATTACTGGAGTACCATTTAACTCATAACTATTGCAGAAATCTAAAAATTCATTATCAATCCATAAATAGTCTACAATATAGATTTTTTTTTTGTTTATTTGTTGATTTGCCTTCTGAAGGCACTTTATTACATTCAACAATCAAATGCAAATGGAATTCACGAATGTCCATATTTGAATTACTATATGTTTTGGTATATTCTGATTCACTTGAACGAGAAAATTCTTCTCATTACTCCATTTCCACCAAAGAAAACTCTGAAACATCTAATTTTAATTTCCAACAATGATGGAAAATTTCCACTAATAATGGAAAGTATAACAACATTTTTACTGATATTTTAAGATTTCCAGAACTTAAAAATATCAGTAAAAAAAGCAAGCTAGGTCGCACATCTAAAGGCACTTAATTCATATAACAATTAACTTTAAACATTAAAATAAAAATAGAATTAAACTACAAGTTGAAATTTGAAAACTTTCAACTTAGTTAAAAATCAAAATTATAAATAAAATTAAATTACAAAATTCTAACTTTTAAAAGGTAGAATTGTTTTCTCGTAAAAACGAATTTTATCCTCATCTGATAGATCATCAAAAACACTTTTCCAGTTTTTGTCAGACAATTGGTTATTACCTAAAAATTCAATTAACAAAAGTTGCTAACTATGGCAAGAAAAATTGCTCACTTGAAAGAAAAAGGTTTCTGTTACCTGGTTTTACCTTGAACTTAAAAAATTAGATGTTATTTAAATTGAAATATATATTTTGTCATAAACACTGCCAAATACTGATTGAAAAATTGCATTTATTTCATACAAAAGCAGAATATTTTATTAAAAATCTAAATAATATATATAATATATATATAAAATGTATATATATAATATATATAATATATATAATATATAATATATAATATATAATATATATATATATATATATATATATATATATATATATATATATATAAAAAACTAGAAGAAAAATGCAAAAAGAAATTAGTAGCACTTGAAAAAAAAAATGTTAACGAAAGCTTGAACTTTATGGAAACTAATTATATTTATACAAATCAAGAAGTTATACAATGAATTAAATGCAGATATTGGTGTCTTTAAATCAAAGTCTAAGCACACCGAAGAAAAAGTAAATACAAGAAAGCAAGATATTGGATACTATTTATGGAGACAGTTAAAAAGAGTTTCGATTCCTGTTTTTAATGGTGATAAGTATAACTATGAAAACTGGAAGTCAGCATTCCTAGCCTGTGTTAATCAAGCTCACACAACTGCAGAGTACAAACTGTTGCAGTTACAAAAATAACTGCCTGGTTCAGCATTAACCACCATTGATGGATTGGGTCACTCGAGTTATGCCTATGAAGCTGCAAAAGAAAAACTAGAGCGAAGATATGACAGACACAGAAGAAAGTTAATGCTTTACATGGACAAATTAGAAAACATCAAACCAATAAGAAGCGACCATCCTAGGGATCAGGGAAAATTTGCTGATGTATTAGACATTGAGGTTACCTCAAAGATGCAGAAATGGAAGAAAAGCTTGGCAATGGAACATTTTATAGAAAATTACCAGAGAAAATGCTTACTCAATATCAATGTTGATTTTTCTAAAATGCAAAAGTAGAAAATGTTGAAACCTTATGACAGTTTATTATTAAAGAATCAGAGTCTCAAATTGCTGCAGTTGAAACAATTTATGGGTTACATAATACTGGCCATTATAAACCAAAAGCTGAACAATCGAATTTTGGCGAAACCAGAACAATTGAAACGAGAAAATTGTGGTTGAAATGTCTTGTTTGTAAGCAAAATTATGCCTTGCGGAACTGTGACCAATTAAAGCAACTTGATACTATAGATAGATAGAATTTTGGCAATTAATAAATTATGTTATCGATGCTTAGGAACCAACCATACTGGAAGTCTGTGTACTAAAACAAGAATATGTGGTATTTATGGATGTAACGAAACACACAACAAATTGCTACATAAGCCGAATCCAATTAACTGAGACAACTGGATCAAAAGGAATAAAAAGTTACAGTTGAAGAATGTCACAGAGGCGAAGCAACTTAAAGAAACTGCTAACATTAAAATGTCAAGTGAATCGAAACTTAAAAATAATGGTTGTGGTGTTTATGTGTTCTAGCTTTCCTGAGGAATTGTGGAAAAAAAAAAAGTTAATGCTTCGTTGGATGAACGCAAGTAAGAAAACCTATGTAAATAATAATGTTGCAAGTGAACTAGGTTTAAATGTTTAACCACAAGAAGTTACAGTAAACGTTTTAAATAATCGAACTGATACATTTCAGACAACGCCTGTTGAATTTGAAATAGAAAGTTTGGATGTGAAAGTTAATATGAAAATTGCAGCATATACAGCAAACAAAGTAACTGGATACTTAAAACCAGTTGACTGGAAGGAACATACAATAAAATGGAAACATTTGAAAAATATCGATTTTTCGAGCATGGGTCCAAAACCAGTTATTTTGATTTTAATTGGAATAGACTATGCTGACTTTCACTATTCAGTTAAAGATGTACGTGGATATCCAGGAGAACCTGTTGCTCGTCTCACTCCACTAGGATAGGCATGCGTAGGCAGATCTGTTATATCGTATCAAAATTTTGACATAACGAAGAGACTCCAAGTAAGCAAGAATATTCATTGAGTGTTGATGAGAAAACAGCAATGGCAGCTCTTCAAAAATCAATCAAATATCTAGAAAGGAGATCTCAAGTGGGGATTCCATGGAGAGAAGGAGTGCTAAAGTTAACAAATAACTAAAAAACAGCACTCAATCTTCTATTACACACAGAAAAGAAACTTATAAAAAATAGAGACATAAGTATAACCTATTCAAACGTTATAACCCAATATCACAAAAAAGGATACATTCGAAAATTAGAAAAATCAGACATTAATAATGATAGTTGGTATTTACCTCATTTCCCTGTTATTCGGATAAATCATCAGACTACGAAAACACAACCAGTATTTAATGGAGAAGCAAAGCATAACAGATTATCTCTTAACAACAAAATTCTTCAAGGTCTAAAACTTCATTAAGACTTGTTTCAAATGTTACTATGATTCGACGATATCTGGTGGCAGTGATTTATGATAAAGCAGAAATTTATCTGCAAATATGTTTCACCAGATGAAAGAAGGTTTAAAAGATTTTTATGGAGAGATCTTGATTTAAGCAGGGACACAGACATTTTTGAATTCGAAAGAGTAGTGTTCGGAATCAATTCATTGCCTTTTTTAGCACAGTTTGTATCGCAAGAAAATGCAAAGAAACATATTAAAAAGTATCCTTTAGTTGCAGAAACAATTCTTAAATTGACATACATGGATGATAGCATCGACTCTGTTACTGATGAAAAAACTGGTATTGAGTTCAACAGTTAAATACAGTTTGAACTTTAGCTGAAATGTATGCACAAAAATGGTTATCCAACTCAATATTATTAAAAGAAATTAAATTAGACAATTAGACAGATACAAAGAAGTAGATTTACACAAAAGTGATTTGTTATCAATTAAAACCTTAGGGGTTATGTGATTATCAAAAGAAGACGTTTTTGCATTTAAGTATCAAGCACCTGATGAAAATTTTGTATTAACGAAAAGAAACTAGAGTTATAGAATAACAAATAGAGTTGCTATCTTTCTTTTTTTCACAAAAAAGAAAGATAGCAACTCTATTTGATCCTCTTGGACTTTTGTTGCCTTATACAATGATAGCAAAAGTGCCCTTACAGCTGATGTGGACCAGTGGGATTAGTAGGGATGAATTGTTGAATCCTAAACAATCTCAACTAGCATCTAAATGGTTCCAAGAGTTAAAGGATTTACAAGACATAAAAATACCAAGATGCATTTAACAACAAAATAAAAGTTTATTGATACTTTCACTTCACACATTTACAGATGCTTCAGAAATCGCACATGGAGCTGTAACTTATGTCAATATAAAAATGGCGAAGTTTCTATTAACGTTATTGCAGCAAAAACGAGAGTGGCACCTTTCTCCGCATTAAGCATCCTATGATTAGAACTACTTGGTGCAGTTTTAGGATCGAGATTAAGTCACAATATTGCAACAACTTATAAAATTGATATCAAAGAAGTGACATTCTGGACAGACAGCATGAATGATATATGGTGGATACATAATCAGAGTAGAAAATTTAAACCTTTTGTGGCTAATAGAATCGGAGAAATTCATACCAAATGAAACCCAAGATAGTTGAGAAACGTACCAACTAAGGAAAATCCTGCTGATGACATAAAAAGAAGTCTCACAGTATCAGAACTAAACAAACAATTTAGATGGTGGAGAGGACCAGATTTTCTGGCTGATCAAAAAAAATGTACGGAAAGAAAACTATTAAAACTTGATAACAATGATGTAGAAGTAAAAAAGTCTAAAGTAAATTTGACCTTGTTAGTGTTTGTAAAAGATAACATCTGGAGACTGCGACCTCAGAGATTTTTGAGTTGGATTCGACTTGCAAGAGTACTCGCATGGATACCCCGTTTTATCATTAATTGTACGTTATCAAAAGCAAGCAGATTCATGGGAGAACTAATGCCAGAAGAGATCATTGATACAGAAAATGAACTAATAAAATTTGCTCAAAAGAGAATTTTGAAGAAAAGTAAAAAGGGCTGTTAGCCAAAAAACTGTTACCAACAACTAGTAAAATACTATGTTTAAGATGAGGATGGTATATTATGATGTGATAGGCATTTAAAATATGCAGAATATTTGCCCTACGATGCCAGATTCCCTATTATTCTCCCAAGAAAAAGCTGGATAATGAAACTTATAGTGAAGAATCATAAAAAGGGTAAACATGCATGTGGAACTAATCAGACCTTGGCAATGCTATCTAGTCAGTTTTGGATATTAAAAGCAAGAGATATATATAAATAAACGAAAAATCAATTCCAGCATTGCATAAGGGGAAAAGCTAAAGCTGGGAATCAGATTATGGCACCATAACCAAAGATCAGATTAAAAATGCCTTTGGACACATTTTTAAGAACAGCTGTTGATTTTGGTGATCCATTTATAAGAGTGCAAGAAAGAGGTATGAGAAGAACTAAATATTATTTGTGCTTGTTTAATTCTTCCAGGGGAAATAATTTTGGATAACGGTACTAATTTTTTTGGAGCAAATAGAGAACTTTAAGAGCTTGTAGCTAGTTTAAATACAGAAAAGTAAAAATATTTTGGAGAAGTCCATGAAACGATGATTAAGTCAGCAAAGAAAGCTATATACAGTATTCTGGGTAATGCCGATATTAATGATGAAGAACTGATGACAACATTTACAGGTGCAGAATCAGTAATCAACTCATGACCTTTAACATACCAGTCTTGCAATCCTGACGATGATGTTCCGTTAACACCAAATCATTTCTTACACGAATCTTAATGATTGAGTAGGTGGCAAATTTGCACCGGAAAACATTGATACTTAGGATTTTAGCATAAAA